CTATATATCACCATTAGTATGTGTTAAGAAAAAGGATGGGTCTATACGGGTTTGCTTGGATGCGCGGCGCATTAACTCAAAAATCAGGAAAGATTTTTTGAATCCACCTAACCCTAATGAACTATTGCAGAATTTTAAAAGGGAACAATTTTATAGTACTCTCGATCTAACTAGTTCGTACTGGCAGGTACCTGTTCTGCCGGCTCATACGAAATATCTCGGTTTCATTCATGATGGGGAAACTTACACGTTCGCCAGGTTACCGTTCGGTCTCGCGACGTCGATGGCGAGTCTTATTCGGTGTTTAAATAAAGTGTTGGGGCAGGAGTGTCAAGCGTATAGTTTTACGTACGTGGACGATTTAATTATTTTTTCTGACACTGTGGGGGGCCATTTGCGGCATTTACAGAACATATTTGAAAAGTTCAGAGCCGAGGGTTTAACGGTTAAATTGAGGAAATCACGTTTCATGAATCCCGAAGTAGTATTTTTGGGTCATATTATTACAAGTGAGGGAGTAAAGCTGGATCCGACTAGAGTTGAGGCAATTAATAGTTTTCCAAATCCACGTAATATCCGGGATTTGCGGGCATTTTTGGGACTGGCCAATTACGAAAAAAGATTCTGCGAGAATTATTCACACCTCACTGTACCACTGCTGCGTTTGTTGAGAAAGAATGTTCGATGGGAATGGACGGAGAAAGAAATGAGAGCATTTCGAGAAATTAAACAAGCTTATTTAAACACGGTTTTACTATACCATCCGGATTTTTCTCGTACGTTTTATATTCAGTGCGATAGTTCAAACTTTGCTACGGGGGTAGTCTTTTTCAGTTTACGGATGAGAATGAGAAACAAATTATAGCATTTGCGAGTGTTACTTTGAAGGGCAGCCAGTTGAAATATACAACAACTGAGAAGGAGGCTCTTGCTTTGATTCACTGCTTAAAACAGTGGCGGACCTTGGTTTTGGGACAAGATTTGGTAGTTATCACGGATCACAAGTCTTTAGAATTTTTGATGACTTGTACGTGGCGATCAGCTAGATTGTCTAGATGGATTATGTTTATGCAGGAGTACGATTTTGCAGTGGAGCATTGTCGCGGGGTGGACAACAAGATCGCGGATACTCTGTCGCGTTTTCCTGTGGACGATCGGAGGGTCGGTTATCCGGATGATGATGGTGGAGACGTAAGGGTTGCGTTGATGAAAATATCTGACGATTTTAAGAGGTTCCGAGCAAATCTAAAGAATTTAAGAGAGGACCAAAGAAGGGATGGAGATCTTAGACAGAAGATTGAAGTATTACAGAATGTAGAAGCTAACGAAGTAGAGAAAAATAAAGTGGCAAAATGGTTTATGCTACACGAGGGAGTATTGTTTAAGAGGGGAGATGATCGATGCCCGGGTTTCAAGTTGTATGTTCCGAGCGGCCTACGAAAGGAACTTGTTCTGGCTCATCACGAATATATTGGGCACTTAGGAAAAACTAAGACGTATGAATATGTGAGATTGACATTCTACTGGCCTAGAATGGCTAAAAACGTACGACAAATAATAGCATCCTGCGATTTATGTCAAAAGACGAAGGTGGCACCAGCGTGTAAGGGAGTAATGCATAGTGTATTGGTAGAGGCACCGGGTGAGTTAGTTTGCCTGGATCTTATAGGACCATTGCCGGTGGGACGAGGTGGAGTGTCCTTCCTGTTGGTGCTCGTGGACGCTTTCTCGAAGTTTGTAACGCTATATCCGTTGAAAAGAGCCACCACTCGTACTATATTAAATCGGATTTTTAAATGTTATATACCGAATGTTCAAAAACCTCGAAGAATTCTTTCGGATAATGGAACTCAATTTACGAGTAAGGTGTGGAGGAGAGAACTAGAAGATACAGGGATTAAGGTGAAATTGATATCTGTTTATTATCCTCAAGGAAATATGACTGAGAGATATAACAAGGAAATTGTTCGAATTCTAAGAGCATACTGTCATGAAAAACACACAGGGTGGCCGAATATACTCTCACTTATAGAGACTTGTTTAAATAGTGTTGTCAACCTTAGTACCGGTTTTACGCCTGAATTTTTACAGAAGGGAATAAACTCCGTTTTCCCAATTAAGAATTTTGTAAATTTTCCGGAAAGTGAGCTCGAGTCGATGTCGCGGGGGGATGTTTTGAAGTTGGCGTTTAAAAGTCTCTGTACCAAAGCAGAAAAAAGAATAAGTCGGGCAAATAAGGGTGTAAAACCAGTTGCATTTGAAGTGGGGGATAAGGTACTTGTGAAAACTCATCCTCAGTCGTCTGCTCTAGATAAAACCATTAAAAAGTTCTTTTTGGTCTATGAGGGACCTTACAATGTTTTGCGAAAGGCTGGTCCTAACAGCTATATAATTGGTACGCCTGATGGGGTGGAGCACTCTAAACAAAATGTAATTAATATGAAAGCTTATAAGGAGTTAGCAACCCCATTCTCTCCATAATATTTTTTTTTGTTATATTATTACCTGTTTTAATTATCGTTCGAAGATTTTTATTATCTGTTCACTTGTTACTAATCTGTTTAACGTTTTTTTTTTTTTTTTTATGGTTCTTATGTTCTTTAATCTTAGAATTATTATTATTGTAACTAAAAAGTTATGTAAAATACATTTTAGTTAGGGGGGTAATGTGGTGGTACCGCCCTGAACTCGAGCCGAAGCTGCACAGCAGCGGGAGAAATAATGCGAGGAAGGGCGAGACCGCGGGAAGGAAGGGGACACTCGGCCGGTGGCTGTCAGCTTGTTAGCTGGTACGAGTAATTTTAATAAAGTTTTCGATGTTCTGTAATTTTTCTTTTAATGTGCAATTGCGAAGACTGTGAGTGAATTAACACATCTTCAAGAAGTCGGTTTATCCGAAACTACAACGACTGAGCTAGCACATGATCAAAACTCTACTTGTAAGGTTATAGGTATATCTTTAATTGACTGTAAATTTATTATTAAACACAGATGAAAGACATACTAATAGAACATCAATTCAAGAAATAGTATGACAGATTTCTCATTTCTAATAAAATAGAAAAAATGACCTCAAAGCTATATTATGTAACTTCATCACTTTTATTTAATTGGCATTTATTTGATTTGGTTTTAACAGAACAGAACTTTTATAACAAAATAATTTTGTACTACCTATAATAGAAACAATCCTTAAATCTTTTAAAAATTCTGAAGGTAATTGTTATCCCCAAAAGGTAATTTTTATCTTCGCAAATTGCCGTTTGTCGTCGAAGTGGCAAAGAATTCAGTGTCTGCAAATAGGAGGAAAATGCCCGCAAGTCCTCGCTCCACGGTCCGAAGTTTAATACGCCGATTTGTCTTTCTGTGTGAGTTGCACACCGCTTTGTTGGAAAACTCATGAACTTATAATAAAGGGAGGAGATAAAAATAAAACATATTTTAATGTCCGACTTAAAAACTCATTTCGAAAATTTATTTCCTCGGAGTGTTACCTTAGAACAGTGCCGTATTAACTACTACTTTGTTTTTTACGTAGCAATTTGAATATCAAATATTTTGATTAATAACTATTATATGTCCTAATAATAATTTGAGTACAATGATTGAACGGTACCAGTAATTACAATTCACTGAAAATAGACAAAGAATATTGTAGGATTTTACATGTTGGTAATTGCTCATGCGACCTTCAATGGAGTCACTGACCAATCGAAAAGCGATGTTAATGATATGTTGACTTGCAAACACGGCATTACTGAAAAAAATATTCCCAAGGATCATAATGATACATACTTTATTATTCAAAAATGTTTAAGACGAAAATAGGAAGCTTATACCTACCTACCGGAATATACTGCTAAAAACAACTCAATTACTTCTAGTAAGATTGAGTTTACTAGCAAAGAAAATAGAACAAATCATTTGCAAATAACACCAGCCCATTAATCACGATGGAAGTAACTTCCACTTTTAACAATTCACCCTAAATCTCTTCGGCTTAACTTTTGATGAAAGCTCGTTTTGAAAATGAAAACACGATACGAAAATGCAGATGTTCAGGTTGTCACTTGCACCATCTCTTTTAAGCAATTGAAGCTTTAATAACAACATCCCTATTTATCTTCTCCTACCCTCTAATTAAGGACGTGAATAATTCTAGTTATTTTCATAAATAAAGCCTCACTATTTGACCAATATTGTTTTTGTATAATCATTATAGTCTTCATCAGTACTTTTGACTAAGTGGATTTTCACAAAACTCCTATATATAGTTTTATGGGTTTAAACTAAATCTCTTTGAATTAGTGATGTATAGCAAGAAATTAGAAAAAATATAGTCTGTAAAGTTCAATACGGAGAATTCAGTGGGTCAATGGTTTTTTAAATAAATCAGGACAATTATTCGCAACCTACGTAGTACAACCTACTATTGCTCCCAAAATGACTAACATCAAAGTTAATGATCGCTTGTTCGATCGAACTCATTATCATATTTTCTTTTCGTCAAATTATTATGTCGATACAAGCAGTACCTGTTATTTTTTTGTATTCTAATAATTTAATCGGAGCGCTTGTGGGAGAGGCATCAAAATAGATATCTCAACAAAATTTTGAATAGGGATCGTTGGGGAATTTTGCGCTGACTTATACCAATCTATAAATATTAATATTATTAATGTTATAATTTTTTAATGCATCACTTAAAATGATTAAAATAAATAACGATATCAGAAAACGTTAACAGTAATGTAAGGAAACAAAAAATTCAATGCCATTCTTTACGATAGACGAAGAGTAGAGTTGGCAACAGCAGGAAAATGACAACAACAACAAGACAGTAGCAAGAGTGTATAGTATACCGTAGCAATATCACATCCAATTTTGTACGTATTCCCTGGTGTAATCCGCTGGATTTTTATAAAAATCGACAACAAAACTCCGAGTTAGATATAGTAGATGTAGTAGAGCGCGTTAGATATAATAAAAACTTGTTTTACCTTTGAGGTGTCGAACAGGATCTAACGGCGATGCGAACAAATTCGGAAAGAAAGCGCACACGATCACACTACATACTATTTTTATGAACATTGTAGTTTCGAATCACTAAAACGGAGATCACAGCAGTACTCTTTGGCAGATAGTTGTATCATTTTATTGTCCGTTCGATCGTTTCTGGTACGATTACGAAATGTGAATTTGACATCGACGAACGACCGAAATCTACGCTACATATGGTGAACATCGAGGCACTGTTTTCATTTCTGTAATCAGTTTTCAGCGAGTTTAGTTTCACGTTATATCTCGACGCAGCGTTGCCCGGTGAAAGTTTTAAAAGGGGATTTTATGATGACTTCCATCTAGCTATGATACGCAGCTAAATTTCAGAAAAAAACTTCGTATAATGCAATAAATAAAAAAAAGTTATAAAACTAGTCGTACTATATTAAATAAATATTAACGTAGAAAACTTTGTACCAAATACCATCATAATGTAGAATGCCTAGTGCTACAATCACAAATTCATTTTAATGAGGTAATGGTAAAGGTATTTAATGCATGTTAAAAATTTGTATTACCTATTCCCATAGCAAAGAAGTAGGCTGCAGGTACCCAATCCAATCTAGTACCATTATTTTTTACAATCCCTTTTATGGATACATATAAGTGCAAATTTGTCTTTGGGTGCAACAAAGACAACTTTCATTAGTTATATAAAGGAAAAAATGCATGATACAGTGGAATTGCAACTTTCCTACTCTAATCACTGTTATTTTAATAATATTCACTTGTTCAACTCATAGAATTGATCATATTGCAAATAAATTTGCACTTATCCATATATTTTTTAAGTAGGTATACCTACCTCTTAGGTATTATATTAGGTACGGTTAAACTTGTTTCATTTTCTTCTAAAATCTAAAGTTATAACTAAGTATAATAGCATTATTTTTATGATGATCTAACCATTATCAAAAACTATAAAAGACTTTCAACAGTAGTAAATAACATTATTCCATTTACCAGATTAAGGTACTTATACATTTCCACTGGATACCCTTTAAAGATACTAATTTTTAGCTGCAGATACATTTTGTGATAGTATATGGGATTTTATGGGAGTTTATCTGGCAACGCTGTACTATGGATAAGGGCACGGAAAGAGTCGATGCCGCACGATTGCGTTTCTCCTTGCGCGTTTCACGTTCCGGGTTCTGACACGCGGTCGCTCCGGAAAGTGCCGAAAAAACGACTCGTTTCGTTCGAACAAAACAATCTGACGTGAGTCATACATAATTTAGAATGCAGGATGCTTTATTTGCTGCGGGCTTGCTGTATTTTTTGCTGCCTCCTTAAATCATCGACGTGTTTTTCGGTTGATAGAATCTAGATTGAAGGATTAAAAAGTTATTAAAGATGATGGGATTATATTGTATCTATAGATATTAGTTTCCGTAACCTATATATTGTTATTTACCCTTATTAAAAAATTTCTTGATGTAAATGCTCTTTAATGATTGCAAAAATTATCAAAGAAATTTAAGTTTATAGCTACCAACTTTTCTAATATCTATCGATTAAATTTGGAAGTAGATATGTAAGAATATATCTAAGTTTTTTATTGTAGGTAATACCTATAATCGGGCTAATAATTTAAAACGCAACAGTTAAATAAAAATTATCTTATTTTGATATAACTTGTAACAAACGATAAATTTAATTTACTTCGCGAAAGCTATTGTGGGTTTCTGTTCTCATCCACTGTTGAAATTTTTTTCCGAAAATCGACAAACTCGAAGAATTTAAACGAATTTAGAAATAAAATAAAATTATAATATAGATATTTACAATTTACTGTACACATTTTTACAGAGAAAATAAGAATTCTTCTAGAGATTCACACTAGAAGATGGTACAAAATATATTATTTATTATCCTTCCAATCTTTTTATCAACTATATTAATAATGTCCTTTTCGAAAATATTTTTTGAGGAAGACCGAAACAGTAATATATTTTCTACAATCGATTTCTGATTCTGCTCGGGTACCTTTTCAGTTAGGGCTCTTATAAAAATAAATTAGTAACAATAAAATTGATAACTATCGCTGTTTTCTTAAATAATTATTTGCACATTCACATCAGTTTTGCACACATTCACCTTATGACGTGAAGCTAAAATAATCGAAAATTACTCGAATGACAAAACTCGATATTTACAACTAAAAAACAACGAGATAAATGTTCGACCACTAACATTAGCCCTTTCTCCGCCAGATTAATCAAGAAAAACTGTCTTTTTTTTAATCAAAATATCACATATAACACCAACAGCAACATCACAATAACAAATTTAGTCTGGATAGTCACCCAACTTCCACTGTTCTCTGATGCATTATAACTATCCAAATTAACGGTAAACTCGGGTTCGCTTTGATAACATCTAGGAAAATCCCGCGGAACCGGCACCATTTCCTTCTTCTCGCCCACTTGCAAGATCATCGTCATCCCTAAAGCCAAGTGGATTTCTATGTGGCAATGTAGAACCCAATAACCTACATAAAAAACACATTTTCAACTAAGCACGAGATCGGGCAACCTAACCAACCTGGATTATTCGCCACGAATCTTACGATAGTGTACCCCCCGTCGGGTACTGAAACCGTATCCTTCAGAGGGGCGTTGTACAGATTTCGATAGATGAGGCCCTGTTCATCCCGCTTCTTTACTTGTTCCACCGAAACGCTACTGCCCAGTCTTTCCATGGAGATCACCCTAAAAGCGTAGCCGTGCAGATGGATGGGGTGACCTCCATCGTACGTGTAACCCTCGTCCACGAAGATCAGCTCCACTACTGCTCCTAAAGGTATCTGTTAACCGACAATTTTTAGATTTAATTTGATACAACTTTAAATGAATCTAATACGTATCAATGGTGTGTGTATCAATTGGTATCATTTTTTTGATATTTGAGAGAACAGAAAATGAATGTGAAGATAATTAATATGCTACATGTACTCACTTTTATACCGTGTACGCATTGACATTGTACATTAGAACAATTTTGTTCTTGGTGGTTTTCGTCGTTGCAAAAGATTTCGCCATCCAACTGATCCCTTTGGGGTAGCAGCGGAATCGAGGGGTTCAAGAAGGAAATGTGGTTGAATTGCGGTATTTTCACGGGATTTTTAACTGAAATAAAATCGTAATAGTCAATAACGCGAATTGCATAATGTTTTCACTTTACCTTTGAAATTTGATTTGTGTGGCCACTGAAACTTTCTCAAACTAATGTTGTTAAAATCGAAACCGATGTAATATTGAAAGTCTGGGATGAGTTGCAAGCTCTCGTTCCAATCATCGATGGCTTCCATACGAGACACCGGCACTACGGTGTTATTGCTTTCGTTTCCTTCGTTTAAAGGATTTACTTGCTGAATTACAAAAAATAAATATAACATCTAGGTATAAGCTACAATAACTGGTAGGTAGGTACTTACGATTCCATTCCTGGGAGGAAATCCGAAGAACACCTTAGATGGGTAACTATTTGGTTCGGCATTGATACCTGCATATTCCAGCACAGCTACTTGGAATACCGACGTGTAAATTGTATTGCAGTTTAAAAGACCTCTAAACTTAATCCAGTATAGATCTCTCTTTTGATTTGCGTGCAAGATAAAGTCGTATCTCTCTCCCGCATACATTATCAATGAACTAGCTAAAATCAATAGAACACATATTAACAATTTATACTCCACAGCGTTTCTATCCTTCTATTATGGTTACCAGTTTTAGTTATATTCAGTACCTTTAATTGGTTTGATATCCTGACCATCAGTGCTTATAATTATGATGTCGTGTTTGACCACCGTTAATTCGACTGGACAATTTAGGGAACCACTGTTTATTACTCTAAAGCGATACCGAAAACCCTACAATATTCATGGGTATTGTTAGTCTACACAATAAACATTTACCCTATTGTAGTTAACAAATTTTGTCCTTACCTTTTGTACATCGAATCGAGCAGTGGGTACAAAGGTCTTGTTGCGACCATTGTAAAACGTCTTGTGTCGACCTATGCCGTTGACCAGTAGGCTAGCTGGAGAGGTTTCCTCTTGGGAGTAGAAATGAGAGAGGAGAACGATTTCACCGATTTTGGTCTCCCAATCGCTGATGATCAGCGTGTGCGACGACAAATCGAAATCGTACAGGTCGCTGTGGTAGTCTTTTTCTTTAGGAACGCGTACAATCAAAGGACCGAAGGCCCCGTCGACTCTTTGCATGCCTGCGAAATAACCGTATGGTTAAGAAACAGACGGATTTAGTTGGCTTGGCTGCTTACCCATATGCGAATGCCAGAAATGGGTACCCGCTTGGGTGGCCTTGAACGTGTACCTGAAGGAGGTGTACGGTTCTATTGGACATTGAGTGACGTAGGGCACTCCGTCCATGTAGGGATAGGCCCTTTGTAGTTGGCCATGCCAATGTATGGTAGTTGCTTCGTTCTCCAATTTGTTAATAACATCCACTACAACAGTGTCATTTTGGCAGACCTTAAATTTTCGATACAAAAATAGCATATAATTTTCCTACAATTTAGTTGGAAAAGTTAAAAATTAATATCTGCCGATGGGACATAATTTCTTGGAAAATAGTAGTACACGTTTGTTTCTGTTGTAGGTAGGTACAGCTGGATTTTTTAATAGAAAATATTAGGTAGAAATTCGATGTTTGTTCGAATGTCCAATGGATTCGTAACGAAATAAAAATGTTTTTTGCACAAGTTCCAAATTTGTTATTCCATTTTGGAATCTCCCGTTACTTAAATAACGAATTATATAAATTGCGAAGCGACCATCTCTAAATTGACCAAGAAAAAAATTTATACATTTATACTTGGTTGAATTTTGTGTTCTCAATTGCAATATAATAACAACAAAAACACAATAACTGAATTAACCGAAATCACCTACATTACCTCTATTGACGGACCGGGCAGCATTTTATTGATGGTAACGATTTTCCTTCTATTTCCGTCTCCAGGAATGCATCCCGGTCTGAAGCAATCCGTAACGTTGAACGGGCAGTTTCTACAAGCTTCGGCCAACGTGGAATACCATTCGATTTCGAACTTATAATGACACACCAATGGTTCGAATCCTCTTTCGCAGGGTCTTCTGCAAGGATCTGGCCGTCATGAAACATCACATAAATAAATTTCAAGTCAAATTCGTCGAAGCAAAGTAAATACGGTGTTTTAAGTATTGACTGTGGTATTTTCTTTTTACTCGAAAAATGCTCCGTTATCTAATCACTTTTTGACTAATACACTTACCATTTTCCTCAACATTTAATTCTTGCATTGTTTTCGCCACACAAATACATAAAAAACCCAACAAAAAACTGAAGTTATTCATCTGCAAAGAAAAATGCAGGTTAATATTCAATTCAATAATGTAAATAAAACTCTGTTGTTAAACGTTTTTTTACATAACTGTCTCAAAACTAAATTAGAGATGAAAGAAACTCAAAAGTTCAACGACAAAGACAAATTGTTTTGAAATTTTTATGTTCATAATTTATAAATAAACCTAACATTTTGTTTTATCTAAAAAATAAGAGTGGTACCTTAGAAGGGCTTTCATTTGTAATAAAATAGCAAGAACTATCAAATATTTATAATTTCATTTAAGGGAAAGGTCTGTATCGTTAATAAAATATATTATAGGGGTGATATTAAGTACACCATATTTGCGATCTTTTACGTTTTGAAGAAGTGAACTGTTTATTTCATACCTCTCTGTATACAATTCCTGGTTATTAATATCAGTTCCATTTGAAAGGAATTTGTATAATTTTCAATATCATACTGATTTAGGTATTTTAATCAAATATTTTTTATAATATTTTATGTTTAATCATTGTATACAATAAATTATTCCTATTCCGATTAAAAAAGCTTTGAAAATCAAAAACATTTACTAATTTATTTATGAATATTTGTCGTCAACATTAAAATGCATTAACTAATTGAAATCGTGTTTGAATTGCATATCGTTGACTAGTGGATTCCTGGAATAAATGCACAATGTATCAATTGCGAAAGTAAGAAACGAATTAGTGTATTGGTGATGAATACGTTCAGTTTTAATTTTGAAATTTGTTTATTGGAAAAGTCATTCCCACGTTATTACCTTAAAAATCGAAATTCGAAATAACTACACTCAATTTTATATCGTGCATTCACTCATTTTCACTAATATTTGTAATGTAGGTATAATTGGCGCACGACGGGTACTGCAATTTTATACTTCCATAACCTACGTATTATTGCGGGCTATTAATTTTTATTATGTCATTTTTGGATCTAACTGAATTGGAATTTTTATCCTGGTAAATATTTAAGAGGATCATGTTAAAACAGCATGTAAACATATCGGACTTACGCTAAAAGTGGCTAAAGAAATTCCCCGACAAATTACTAACGGAAATATTTTCCTCGGTCATAATAGGTCAATCATTTAAAAAAAATGCCGTTCGGACAACGATCATAACAAACTAATCTTTTCTGAGGGTACTTTCACTATACGCTAATTAAGTTAAAAGTAAGATTAAAATAGTTACTTACAGTTTAAGGCAACACTCGTATTAAAAATTAAAGGTGGAATTTTCACGTTCGATCGCATAGTTGACGGGTCTGTCGCGATTCGCATTTTTTCTTTATCTACGTTTTCTTCCTGATCGCTAACATTAACACAGTGTGGCAATGACAATTACTTACGTGAATAAAATTCGATTGCAGCGTCTTGCAGATATGTATCACCAAACATCTCATATAGCACTGACGAAATTGGAAAGATCTAAATGTTTCGTGAGTCAATGAAAACGGCACACAACGCGTTCGATTATGACTCTTTCATACTTATGTATTATAAGTAAGTAAGTAAAGAGTATGTACCGGGTGTTGTTTGATTATCAACAATTAAAAAATAGTTTAATCATTCTTTTTTGGGGATTTGTCAATTGCTGTTTAATACTTCCAGGTCTTATAAATCAATTTTATTTCACAGTTCATTATGAAAATAAGGTATATCGTTAGAGATAATCCAGATTACAAAGAGTGATTATTAGAATTAATCGAAAGTTCCTTGTAAGTGTATGGGAAAAAATTTTTGTACACTCCTCGTATGTTTATGGACTAAATATGGTTTTCAGCAGGTACATCTGTACTTACCTGTAAATATTTCAAGCAAAAGTATGCAGGTAACTTGTTCTTTATAATGTTTATTTGAGTTTGACTCACAATAGAGGGCAGAGCGTACTCAAATAGGGATAATATTCGTCCGCTCAGTGGAAAATCGATATAATACAGTTCCTCACTAGGGGATGTTTCATCGCCCCCGTTCTTTTTGAGGAATTTGTCTTTAGTTGATCGTTCATAGATGTCTGGCGTTGAATTGGAGTACAGTAGAATTACCTTTATATTGGATTATCTAGGGGCTCAGAGAGGAAGCCCAACAAAGACTTAACAAAAGGCACCAGCAATGTCTATTCTTCATAATTAAGGCACTTGCTTATTTCTCCATTTCAGAATGCAATTAAGAATAAATTAAAAAAAAAGGTGTATTCTGATAGATGATATGAATATTATGAAAATCGTATGCAGGTGTCGGATTTCTAATAAGCATAAAGAATGCTTTATTAAATATTTTAACCAAAGCCTTCAGAAAAACAGAAAATTTTATGGATATTGAATACAACTAAATTAGATTACATATCTTGATTGTTTTTTCTGCTGCACCGTTATTAGGTATAACTGTTAGTTTATGTTTGAATCCAATTTTGAATAATGCTGATTATACCTTTAAATACCTCATTAAATAGATCAGAAAAATAGTGCTATCATGCTATCATTTACATTTCCATGAAATATCTAATTTTACTAATTTTTCGTAACTAAAATTGGCATTACTTCCGTTTTTTACAACCCTTGTGGCTCAGGTCAATTGATAAAAATTCATTCGAAGGCTTTATACCATGAAAATTTTAAGAACGTTGTCGTAGACAAAAATATTGATCGTTCCGGACTCGACCTCCGCCAACATTCCTCCGTGGGCGTTTTTGGGATACGAAGGCTACGAAGTGGACCTTCTGGCCCAACTGTGATGGGCCGCGATTCGCGCCGCCTCCACGATGCCTCTTTTGGCCCGGCCCATGTTCAGCCACGTCCCGTTGACGTCACGTACCGGAATCAATACCTGGCACTGAGCCTGGAACAGTTCTGTCGAGGCGACCGTCAAATTTGTACGTCCGATAAGGTGTTTCTATCGCCCGGTGTTAATGAATTTTAACATCGCCCATGTGTGGGCTAGCTTTTAGAACCAGGAACAGCCCCTCTCAAAAAACATCCTTACGCTGGGGCGATTGCTGTTCTGTACTTTGGTTGTTGTAGATTTAGTTGTTTTGCTGAATTTTGTAACTAACTGTTGTAACATAAATAGTGCTGCTACCAGATTATTTCTTAAGGTAAAGTCCTTGATTTTTCAATAATTGCACTTTGTACGTGTTCTTTAGGTGCTTGTAGTTCCGATTGCATGATTGCATCTAACCATTTCTGGAGATTACTCCGGTGTACCTTCAATATAGTTATTGTGACCAAATCTAATTTAGAACTAAATTAAATGATTGTGTTACTCCTACAACGTCGACTCTTTCCTGTGGAAATACTCGAAAATTACATCAAGAAATGTCTTTACCTTTAATCATTCATTCTAGACTAAAATCAAATATTTCTACCTGCTCAAAAATAGTTATCGATTGCTCAGTAAAGTATCCATAAATCATCAAGGTCAAACTCCTAAGGTTGCATGTCTATTTAATAAAAATGTTTACTACTTAAATAAGACTTGTTGGGAACTAAAAATAGGTTAACATTAACGCAAATAACAAGTTCATGTTGATTGAAATTGTTGAAACGAAACTATAAAGAAAGAGTTAACAACAACGATTTCCAAACCAACAACTTTTTGACTTGGTATGCCCGGTTAATTGCATAATAGAAATAGAATATGTGTGAAATACATATGTTACCTATAATATATACATTTCGTTGATGCACATTTCCTTGAAGAAAGCATGCCTTTACGTGGATAAGGAGAACTCGCTGCGTAAAAGGAATAATGGTTAGGGACAATAACTCTTACATAGTAACTTAGCTTCAGTAAAACTAGGTCACATAAAAGCGTAAATGGAAATGGTACAGTCAATATTTAAGGAGTAGCTTTTAATATCGTTTCAATTTTTTATCCACAGGTCCACATGATTGATTATTATTGAAGGTTAATACGGGAATAGAATGTAATTAAAAAAAGTATGTAGAAGCATAATTACATTATGCACTTTCAAAATTTAAATATAAAGAGCTACCCTGTTTCAACGCATTTATCGTTGCTATAAACGTTGGTGATAATATTTTTCTATGTACAGCGTATTTGGTTTATGTGCAATTATGTTTATCTTCATCAAGAAATATCAAGGGTTTTTTATTTGCAGATATAGAAGATGATTAATATAACAGGAATTATATCCATAATTTTATTTTACATCCTGATTTTGGGAGTGGGAATATGGGCAGCAAGAAAAAAAGAAGACGGCAATGATTCCGAAGAAGAGGTCATGTTGGCAGGAAGAAATATTGGGTTATTCGTGGGAATCTTCACCATGACAGGTAAGAAATCAGAAATCAATATAAAACTTGGTATGGTTAAATAGTGGTAAAATTTCTTACCTTTTTTTTTCATGAATTCTACGATCCATTGCCAATTTCAATAATTTCTACTGATGTTTTCACATAATACTAGAAACCACAAGAGAACAATGTTTATATATACATATTCACACCACTCTAACAAAATTCGACTGTTACTGTTAATACTGTTTTGCTAACTGGATAATAATAATAAAATAATTTAATAGAAACTAATACATGTTGATTAAGTAATTGAAAAAATATTCAATCGAAAACAAGTCAATGCTAAAATTTCACAACAAATATTAATAATGCTTAAATACTAAGTATGTATTAACAAAAATATTTTCGAAATAAAAACCAAATTATACAAAATAGGTAATAACAAAGAATAAAGCAAATTCAATAATATGTCCGCACAATAACCAAAATTCCCTTTCAGCGACGTGGGTAGGTGGTGGTTACATTAACGGGACAGCTGAAGCTATCTACACCTCAGGTCTAGTTTGGTGTCAAGCTCCATTCGGCTACTCCTTGAGTTTAGTATTCGGCGGGATCTTCTTCGCCAACAAGATGCGTCAACAAGGCTACATCACAATGTTAGATCCTTTGCAAGACTGCTTCGGTGAGCGTATGGGAGGCTTGCTCTTCCTTCCGGCCCTATGCGGGGAGGTATTCTGGGCCGCTGGTATTTTAGCTGCTCTAGGAGCCACTCTCAGCGTCATTATTGAGATGGACAACAAGACCAGCGTCATTTTCAGTTCTTGCGTAGCCGTGTTCTACACGCTATTCGGCGGTTTGTACGCCGTAGCCTACACCGACGTCATCCAGTTGTTTTGCATATTCTTCGGATTGTGGATGTGCATTCCGTTCGCCTGGAACAACGAGCACGTCGCACCCCTCTCTTCCATGGAGGTGGATTGGATCGGCGAGGTGAAACGAGAGGAATACTTCTTCTATGCCGATTACGCGTTGTTGTTGATCTTCGGCGGTATCCCTTGGCAGGTGTACTTCCAGAGGGTATTGAGCAGCAAGTCGGCAAACAGAGCACAGCTACTATCTTATGTAGCTGCTGCGGGGTGCGTTTTGATGGCTATTCCTCCGGTTCTGATTGGGGCGATAGCGAAGGCTACTGGTTAGTTATCTAATCTTATTCGTTTATATTCGAATAAGATGGTTGTTTTTTAGCGTGGAACGAGACTACCTATACAGGTCCATATCCTCTTACTATTGACCAAACCAGCATGATTCTGCCCATGGTATTGCAACATCTTACGCCAGCGTTCGTTTCGTTTTTCGGATTGGGAGCCGTTTCAGCTGCTGTGATGTCTTCAGCGGATTCCAGTATACTTTCAGCGAGTTCGATGTTCGCCAGGAACGTGTATAAGTTAATATTCAGACAAAAAGCATCCGAAATGGAAATCGTTTGGGTGATGAGAGGTTCTATTCTTGTCGTAGGGTTTCTTGCAACTGTTATGGCTTTGACAATCCCATCGATTTATGGGCTATGGTGAGCTTAAATTGATTATTCAGGTTCAACGTGTATTATTTACTTGCTTCGTTTCTAGGTCAATGTGTTCCGATCTGGTTTACGTCATCCTATTTCCGCAACTCATTATGGTTGTTCATTTCAAAGACTACTGCAATTCATACGGAAGTTTATCAGCTTACATAGTGGGCTTTTTAATTAGAGTGTCTGGTGGAGAAGAGCTTATGCATTTAGACCCAATCATCTACTATCCAGGTATAAATTATCCTGTCCCTGTAACCTTTTTGATTTCTTATTGGTTTAATTCGTTGCATAGGTTGGGATGAAGAGAACAGGAGGCAGCTGTTTCCGTTCAGAACCCTGGCCATGGTATCATCGTTATTAACGCTTATAGGAGTTTCGTACGGGAGTAAATGGATTTTCACCAGCGGACGATTGGCTCCTGGATACGACTTTTTCCACTGCGTGGTTAACATTCCAGAAGATATTCAACGAGTCGATGAGCCCATAGAAGAGGGCGAGCAAATGTCCATGATGGCTTCCGGTAAGTATTCAGCAAGACTAAACTTTCTGGTGATAATAACTTGACATTTTCAGATGCAATGTGTAAAATGTACGGTGCGGCAACGATGGTAGGTAAAGACGAGCGGAACGGTAGGATCAATCCAGCATTAGAAACTGACGACGATGATATTCCCCCGTCCGAACTAAATAAACTAAAAGGTTCGGTGGGTAGTAGTGGTGGTGGTGCTCGAAGTATACCTACTAACCCCATAGTTAACTCCCAACTGTAAGATATTGAAGAAGTTTAGTTTTGTTCATTTTCGATGTTAATGAAAAGAGAAATAGGGATAGATTGTGTGGTGATGAAGAAAGGATTTAAACACCACCGTGCAAAAGATGCTTGAATCTTTTGGTCTCTGTAGATTGTATACATGGCCTATAAAGGACGCATAAAGGTATGTTGTAGTTTTTATACATGCTTGTAATATAAAAATAAACTAATTAAATAATCATGCAGTGTTGAAAAACGTTGTTGATAAAAAATAATGGAATGGTAGACAATAATGAATGATACCGTGAAATTGTAAGAAAATGTAGGAAAAGTAAAATTAATCGGTTGGATTACGATAAAAGCAATTAAAGATATGTGGAATTAGAAAGATAATATCATGCCGGAAAAGATGATAAATTTGCAAATTTAAAAAATTTTGTTAAATAAATACAGATGGAAACAAGTTTTCTCATAACAATGAACTATCTACATATTACTAAATTGGCAACATCAGACAACAACAGTAATTAATTAATTTAATTCACTGTATGTCACCTTAAAATCTATCTCTATTTATCATTGTAATAGAGTAACCTAAACGCAACCTAAAACCTTTAGAGGAAACGTAGGTGCTAATGATTTAGAATAAAAAGATAAAAAGACACTGCTGGTCAGTATAAGTAGACATACATATTTTATTGGGTAAAAAGAAGTTTAATATGTTGTTGAAAATGCATAATTTTATTGTAATTGAATTTTAGTATATTTTGGAAACAGCAAAACACAGTATTATAGTTTCCAAATTAAAGCACATTTTGTTATATTAACGCTTTTTTGTATTGTGATGATTTTATATTTTACAAACATTGTTTCATATAAATATAGCAATAATAAAGGGAAGTTTGCTAATAAATTAAATAAAATAAGCAAGTTCGAAACGTTTCAGATTAATGAGATTCCTATCGGAAGACCATTATAAATTAGGTAATTATTCGTGTTGCATTAAAAATATGAAAAGCGTTGTTTATCGCACAAGAGAATATCATCATACATTCAATATTAGTAATATGGAACTTGTATAATAACTTTCTTCTACTACAAAAAAAACTTATCATATCTTACCCCATACCAATTTGGATGTTAATCTTAAAGGGTTAATATGAACTTCTTATACCAATTTTATTTAATATATCTAAGAAACTAAGGTGTTATTAGTGTGTTTGTTGTCGAAAAATCTGTTATTAGTTTCATTACAAATATTTAGTAAAATTACCTATTTTTTATGAATTACATTTGGTGGCTTTAAATTAATGTCTCAAACATAATTACAGATTGATACATCATTTAAAGTTGCCATTACGTCCAAAACAATGGACATTGTTATAGTTTGGCTTTTGAGGTGTGATTAACATAAACAAAGCATTTAGTCACAGCATTTAGTCGCAAGCAAAATTAAAGGTATTCGATCTCTTGAAAAAAATATATTTTCACAAATTGTTTGTTATAAATAATATTAGAAATTAGGATCATACGGTTAAGAGGTATTAAATCGGCCAAACGCTGCGGCTAACAGATTAAGAAAACAATCCTTAAGAGTCCATGTTAATTAAAATTTCATTTGAAGTGATTACAAATTTTCGTCTATTCTGAAATGCGTCTAGATATACGATACATTTATGTAAATAAAATCGTTCCAAATTTTTGAAATATTTATATAGAGAGTGGTTGGGAAAATCTTGTTAGTCTGAAGGAGGAAAACTACACATATCCAGACATACATATCATTAAATTAATTATTGTAAAAAATATAAGATACATATCAATTGACTTGACGCACATTATCATTGATATTCCAAAGAAAAATTATCTGACGTTTTCATCGAACAGTATTTTTACATCGAAAATATTTTTTTGTAAAATCATGAATTAACGCAGAGTATATGTGTACCTATACTATATTAGATATTAGGTTACAGATTCTATTATGATATTTTTTTGATAAAATTGATGAAAACACGGTTTTGACGAGGTTCCCGAACAATTTGAGCGAGGTGCATCGCCATTTTATCTCTAAATATACATAAATGTTTTACACTGGGACTTATTCTTTGGGTTAAAAACAATCTTAATTTTCTAAAAGTGAATTAAAGTAAAAATAAGTCAATTAGATGAATTTTCAACTTGTTTATATTTGGTACCTACATAATATTGATGAAAACTGATAGTAAATTTAAATATCAAATCATTTTTCAAATTTTGAATAAAATGTTAATACCTACCTATTAAACCCGAGAATACTAGTCTCACTGTAAGTCAAGTGTCTTAATCATAAGAAAATTTTATCTCGATGTTATATGTGGTGAAACAATAATTAGCATTACCTTCTAAACAGTTTTATATCCTCTTGCTTTCTAATCACAAACGCCGTAAATATAGCTGAAAGAAAATACCGTTTTGTCCGTGCATGCTTTATGGGGAAAATATTTTTTTCTATTAACGGAAAAGGAAGATAATGGGAGAATTGCTTCGAATTTAACCCAGCTTTTTTGTTGGCTCATAGGCGGGAGTTTTCTCTGGTCAATAGCCTTACATTCTGAATAATTAAAATCTTTTTCTATGTATATTATTAAAATCGAACGGGAAATCGAAAATCAAATTACTGTGTAAAAATAATTTTTCTCCAATACAAAAAAATCACTAATTCAAATGATTCTATATTCCACCATAAGAAGCACCTTTAATAAAACACATCTAGTTTCAATACTGCTTTTAAATTAATTTAGTAGTAGCCTTAAAGTACCTGACATATTTCACTAACATTATTGTCACATTAGTAATGAGTTGTAGAAAAGAAGCCACCTCTTAAACTTAGACCATTAAATATACAGAATTGATAATTATTAATTCACTGAGGAAACACAATAATTGAAGCAAACATTAATGATTCTTTGCGGCGCTACTGGCAGATATTTATAAAGGAAAAGTAGTATACATGAGTAAAATAATAGCCAAGAATTACGAGCAGTAAAAATTTAGGACACCCAGGCGTACATACAATGCGTTGTTTGTCTTAATTAAATTTATTTCCTAATGGTTATACCAAAATAAAATTATTTTTGCGGAACGTCGTATACATTTCATGGTCTAAGCAGGCGATTGCCCGATTACTGTCGCTGTACTTATACACAAAAGACTGCCTTAAATGTGAGAAAATGTAATTAGTTTTTTTTATGACAACGTACAGGGAGGATTCTTATTGATACCCTCCATTCTCAGGTATATTCTTAGGACGTAAATTGTCATAAAAAACAAGGTTCCTATTGACCTATTTACACGTATACTGATGATTTTTGTTGGTTAGATACAAGGTGTTAAGCACGTCATGGCCCTTTGACTATTAATACTGCTTGTATCTGATGTTAACGAAAAAACAGGAAGCAAATGTTGTGATAAAATTTAATCTAAGCTAAGTAGGATGCTCTGTGATCACTCCGCGTAATACATAATATTTTTGTTAAAAATGTTTCTTAATCATAGCAAAATTATTACCCTTGGAGAAAGCCCAGCCTCCTGATAATTTTCGCTATTTTTAAGAAAATTGGCTGGTAAGAGTAATTAGTTTATTTGAGTAAAGTTTAGTAGGAAATTGCTGGAAATTGGTACCTACAGCTTATAGAATTTACTGCATTTGTATAATTGAGATAGATGTGCTTCATATACCTAGTTAGTCAAAATGGATAGTTATATTAAATAACTAAGGTGGAATATAAAATTGCCGAAAATAAATCTTCTTATGCATTTGATACAATTTTTTGAAGAATCTAATTATTTGTTTTAAAGCTTGGTATGTAAAAAGTATGATGCAATATTTTTAATTGGTGATTATTAATCACCAATTACCTATTTAATTAATTGGTGAAAATAGATGCATACGGAAATTTGACCCAAACTTACCTTTATGAAATCTAAAAAATATTTCTCCATTTATTGGTTCTTCCAATTCTTCGACGATACATATTGTATTGTACAGCTCATTACGCAAGAGGATTATTACTATTAAAATTGTAACAAATTTTAACAGAAAATATTTATTTACTGAACATAATGTTAATTGATTCATTTGCACACTTAATTTGTGTTGTAAAAGTTGACTATTTTTGTTATAAGCTGTTTTTAAACTAAGAGAAACGAAGAATCTAGATGAAACATTTTAAGAGAGCTAATGTTCTAGATAAAATCTATAGAGTACAGTCTCCTAGTTTAAAAACAGTCTATAGTTGTTGGGAAACTTTTGACTTCTTACTCGTTAAAGGAGATTAAAATTCCATTAAAATTATGTTAAAACTGTTTATACTTTTACCTATAAATGTAGATATAATAAATATATAAATTTGTACTTGAGGTAAAAAGTCAACTGCTCTCAAGCAAAATTTATAAATTTATGTGAGAAAATTATATTGCTCTGTCCCTGTATGTATAAAAAAATTACTATATAGACTGTTAATTTTAGATTAAACTGCTAAATAGAATATTATTTAAAATATATTATGTAAAAAGTGTTAGAGATGTACCTATGTATTTAGGATCTTGTTGTAACTAAATAAAGGAAATGTGAACAAACCGTGTGTTATTATTTACATGGAATTGTTTAATTACTCCCCGAAATGAAAGTAACAGAGTTTCACTGAAATATTTGGAAGGGACAAATTCAAAAGACTCATTAAAATCGAAAATTTTATCTTAGGTAAAAAAATGTACATTTCTAATACTGCTCGTCCTAATAAATAAATAGACCTAAATATATACACAAAATTCTACACCTGGTTTCTCTAATACACATATCCTCCGTTGCTGGCATAACTTTGACCACCGCCGCCGTTTCCACCGCCACCACCTCCTCCGCCGCCTCCGAATCCACCACCTCCTCCAAATCCGCCACCGCCTCCAAATCCGCCACCGCCTCCAAATCCGCCACCGCCTCCAAATCCTCCGCCGCCTCCACCATTAGATGGGGCTCCGTATGAGGAACTAGGGGCCGGTGGGCTTCCGTAAGAAGAGCTTGGTGGTGCGCCATAGGAAGAACTCGGTGGAGCTGCAGGTGGAGCGCCGTATGACGAACTAGGTGGTGCACCGTACGAAGAGCTCGGTGGAGCCGCTGGAGGAGCACCTGAATTAAAATTTTAACATATTTATTTGAGTCGTCAATGGTATGTTAGGAATGACCAACCGTATGAAGAACTGGGTGGGGCTCCGTAGGACGAACTTGGGGGTCCTGCAGCTGGAGGTTCATACGAAGAGACAGGTCTGGATGGACCGACCGGAGTACCGTAGCTTGTAGAAGGCGGCAAGTATCCTGCACCGTTACCATTGCGACCTAAGTTTAAAGAAAATGTTAAAAGGCTTCTATTAATTAAATAACCTTATCTGATTCCGACGAAATCACAAAATAATAACATAAAAATTAAACTAAATGAACCTACAAATGGGAAAGAATTAGTGACAGATTGAGAATGTCCTCCAATAAAGGTGCGTGAACGTCATCTAACGATGGTGCAGGATTAAACATTGTATCGACTAGAATACGATGATAAATTAGAACATATTTCGACACACTAAAAAATGATATTCGATTAATACGGAGTGCTGAATTTTCAACAGATGACTAACAAACATCGTGCGGTACTTAATCTACACCTTCTACATAAATGCCAGACTAATCGTACCCATGTTACCATTGCCGTTTTTGCCTCCGCCATTACCGTTTCCATTTTTGCCATTACCATTACCGTTTCCATTGCCTTTACCATTACCGTTTCCATTGCCATTAGGAGCTCCGTAACTATCAGAAGGTGGAGCTCCATAGGAAGACGACGGTGGTGCTGCCGGAGGAGCACCATATGACGAAGATGGAGGTGAAGCGGGAGGAGCACCATACGAAGCAGGTGGTGCTGCAGGGGGAGCACCATATCCTCCATTACCATTGCCGTTTCCATTACCGTTGCCATTTCCATTTCCGTTGCCGTTGCCGTAACCATTTCCATTGCCATTACCATTTCCGTTTCCATTGCCATTACCGTTACCATTAGGTGCTCCGTAACTATCAGATGGTGGAGCTCCGTATGAGGAGGCAGGCGGTGCTGCTGGCGGAGCACCATAAGATGAAGCAGGTGGTGCCGCTGGCGGAGCACCGTAAGATGAAGCAGGTGGTGCCGCTGGCGGAGCACCATAAGATGAAGCAGGTGGTGCCGCTGGCGGAGCACCATAAGATGAAGCAGGCGGTGCCGCTGGCGGAGCACCATAAGATGAAGCAGGTGGTGCCGCTGGCGGAGCACCATAAGATGAGGAAGGTGGCGCTGCCGGTGGCGCGCCATACTTCCCACCGTTTCCGTTACCGTTACCGTTACCATTTCCGTTACGCTTGCCATTACCATTACCGTTGCCTAATTGATTAAATAAGTAATAATTAATATTACAGATAATAAATCGAAAGGAAACGTTGCAAAGAAGACAATCGAAATTGAACGTGAGGTTTCAGGAAAGCCAAATTGTAATGTGTCCGAGGAAGCAATGGAAAGTGACACGAAGAAATGTACACTATTATACAATATAAAAGACAAAACGAGTGTTCATCTACAAAAAAAGACCTATAAATAATTAACATTAGCCTAAAAATAGAAACAATTGTAATTATTGACTATTGTAGACATAAAACATTTTCTGTAATTATTTAAGATTTCATTAAAATAATTTTATATGTCGAAGAAGTGAATAGAAAAAACCACAGAAAATATTTTATTCGGCTTATTGCCAATTGAAATGAAACAAATTACCAAATCCTCCTCCTCCGCCGCCTCCGAATCCTCCGCCGCCTCCGAATCCTCCACCGCCTCCGAATCCTCCGCCGCCTCCGAATCCTCCACCGCCTCCGCGACTTCTACCTTTAGAACCTCCAAAACTAGGAGCGCCATAAGAAGAAGACGGTGGTGCACCATAAGAAGAAGACGGTGGTGCACCATAAGAACTCGATGGGGGTGCTCCATAAGAACTCGATGGAGGCGCTCCGTACGAACTTGAAGGAGGCGCGCCGTATGAGCTTGAAGGTGGACCTGAAGGAGGTGCACCATACGAAGAAGATGGAGGAGCACCGTAAGAACTCGACGGAGGTGCTCCGTATGTACTCTTGGGAGGTGCGCCGTAGTTACTTTTTGGTGGTGCTCCGTATGAAGAAGACGGTCTTCGACGAGGTGGTGGTGCTCCATAGGAGCTCGAAGGCGGTGCACCATACGAACTTGATGGTGGTGCTCCATATGAGTTGGAAGGTGGGCCTGAAGGTGGTGCTCCATATGAGCTGGAGGGTGGGCCTGAAGGTGGTGCTCCATATGAGCTGGAGGGTGGGCCTGAAGGTGGTGCACCGTATGAACTTGATGGTGGTGCACCGTATGAGCTTGATGGTGGTGCACCATAAGAGCTCGATGGAGGTGCGCCATAAGAACTTGAGGGTGGTGCGCCGTAGCTAGAGGAAATTCCTCCTCCGAAACCTCGACCTTAAGAAAGAGAGTAAATGCAAGCTGTGTCGGCGTGTCATAAAGCATTGGCTAAATTGCAAAATACTAGAAGCTTGATTCATTTCGTAAGCTTAAACAATTTTGAAAGTACTTACCATTTCCACCGTTTCCTCCGAAACCGCCGCCTCCACCACCACCGAATCCTCCTCCACCTCCTACAGGAGCTCCATAACTGGACGAAGGACCTCCGCTTGAATAACCACCCCCGGGTAAAGGTGCTAAACACGTTATTAATTATAACGATTTTAGATTACGTTATGATAAAAATACATCGATTGCAACAAAAATGAAATAAATTTCACTATTTTCCCTGGATTCCAAGATGTTATACTTTAGATAAGATTTTTGTGCAATAAAATTTCGTATCATAAAATACCATCGAAACTCGTTGGATTATTTCGAAACGTTTATAGACGAAAATAAATATATTTGAACTTATCAGTGCGTGACCTCGTTTTCTTATTGTTTTTGTTCAATCCGCATCTAACTACAATTGACTGACCCTAAATTACATACATTTTCTACTAATTATAAAAAAGCAGATGACTATACAAAACTGACGTAACAATTTTCTCTGCTAATGATTGTACTTACGCACAACCAACAAAATTTCGACCAGTTATTTTAAAGAAATTTTGTAACATTGCAAACAGAAAGAAACATAACTCGCTATATTAATTAATAAATCTCAAAAAATTAAAACAGACTTACCTTCTCGCTTAGTGAGCTTTTTGGTCGTTGATTCGGTAAAAACTGAACATAGTGCAAGTGCGAAGCTCTGAAACAAATCATAGTCATTTGTAAAAATGTAATAAGAATGTTGAAAAAATAGTTAGTTATAGTTAAAATGCAAATTCAATTTTTAAAATCTATATAACTAAAAATAAAGTTTGGTTTCCTAACTAAACTTTTTGAATGTCTTAATTTGAAAATTGTTCCTAAATAGTCACCTTACAAAATATCAAAAAATTTTAACGCAATTTTACGTGATTTTCTTTACGAAATAGAGTGTCCTTAAACTAGTAAAATTAATGGTTTAGCTGGCAATAGCCAGATGAATTGTGATTTGCATTTTAATTTTCGAAAACAACTATGTATTTAATTGGAATTACATAAAAAAATATCACGAATCCCCAAACTGTTTCATAATTTTTTGAGGATATAGGTAAACATACAGGAAAAAGGAAATATCTTGTATCAATTTTTGTTTACATGTTTTCTTTACAGTTTTACAATAATAGAAGAAAGTTTCCGAAAACTTAATCAATTAAACAACGTGTTGTTTTTTACGTGGTTATTGCATAATGATATCGATTGTCGGATTGAGAGAAAATTGAAGAGGTTATTTTAACAATAAGCCTTTGTTCCGTTCAATGTGTGGTAATGAAATTTGAGTGTTGAAAAAAAATAATTATTACAATTCATTTTAAATATTCAATTTCAACTCGCAATTCAATATAACTACCTACTTAACTAAACTTTCCGAAATATTTCTTAACAATTCGTTCTTTGTAAACTGCTACTTCAACTGGAAGTTTTAAATGAATATTTTTATTTTTCTTCTCTTGATTTATTCAATTTTATTACGTTACTTTTTAATAAATTAGATCTTAATATTTCTCTCAAGTTAGTAATTTTTATTATGTTATTTGTATTGACTTATTTTCTTTCCTTCTAGGATAGTTATTGTAACAATATTTTGCATGAGTTAATATGCAATCCATTTAATGACTGCAATTAAAATTTTATAGTTTGGTTGGTGAATATAAATTTGACGTAAAATGTAAATTAAAAATTATAATAAGAAACTCTCTCTTTGAATTTCTCAAATGTGTAACAAGTAATATACTTTGTAAATGCCTCTTATGTAAGATTTTTATTTTTCAAAGCAATAAAACTCCTATTATTTAGTATTTTGCGAAATTTATAGTTTTCTGTAGAAACAAATTTTCTCCAAATGAAAATAGAAATTAGCAAAAAAACACAATGTAAACAAGTCTTATTAGTGCAGGTTAATGGATTTATAGATTTCTCTGAATTTCAACTAATTAAACGATCAATTACAATCATCTGCAACTGAACGCGCAGAGAAATTTAAAACAGCAAGCAGCAGAATTTCGAATTAACATCAAAGAATATAATTAATCAGCTTTTGAGCACCCAAAAAAGTTACCAACAAAAAGTGTCTTTCTTAATAGCATTTTTAGCGATCGATTAGATTTCAATTACTTATTGGGTAATGAACTTGAAAACTTTCACTTATTCTCATGAATTGCCATTAAAAATTAAAATAATGAATACGGTCAAAATCGATGTAATAGCATACTATGAAAATTAATAAATATGCATGTACTATCTGCAATCACTGTTATCAACTTAACAAGCGTAGAACTGGAACGTCCCGAACCTTACAATCGATATTAAAAAATACACCATTTAACCTTAACCCTCTCACTTACCACAAGCAACAAACTCCGCATATTCGATGACACCTGCACTCATGTAAAAAAAACGTTCGAAGACTTCTGCTTCTGCGAAGTCAATGTCTGCTTATCTTCACCGCGTGGTATATTTATACGCGTCCCCTTGATGAGCCAAGTGAAAGTGATTTCTTCCACCAAGATGTGGGAGATGCTGCGATTCTATCGAACATTGGGGATGATTCGGACGATGATATGATGAACAGAGCTTGTATTTGAGTATACATTTGAGCTTCTCATATGAGCTGCTCATATGCCCTTCTTGCAATCTGAGACGCTGTGGAATAGGATGGTTAAGAAAATTGTTAAAAATACTTAAACAAATTTGCAAAGAACGGCTTCAAGATTTTATCAGTTCCTACTTCAATTAAATTTTTCTAATCCCTAATAATTCTTAATTTTAAAAGACTTCTGCAATATTGCTTTATTTATTGTTGT